TTGCAGATTGATTACAGATTTCTTTCAACCTTTACAAAAGATTTGACAAACGAAGAATGGATGAAAAGAAAATAATACGGTAAATTTAGATTTTTGATAAGTTTAAATGAAGGACGCGTGAGTTATACCAGTTGACTGCTCGTTCTCACGAACGTTTCCAATGTGAAGTAGTTGAAACAGCTGTTTGCACCTTCTATAAAATGTCTTATATAATCTTATATAAACACCTTATATAAAAGCTGTCCAATTAAAAGCGACGCGTAGAAGACGAACCGCGGCGGTGAAAAGGCGCGCGCAATCACGGCACGCTTCGTACGTAACGCACGTGAATTCGACCCGCAGAGGGATTCACCGATATCGTTTGATTTAATTTGTTGCAATTAGGGCAAGGGCCGCTCGGGTGCGCACGTCGATGCGGGATCGAGGTGCGAGAGATGAGTGAGGAAGAGGGAGAGAGAGAAAGAATCAGCAGTCTCCACCCGGCTTACCGCGCCCTTGCTATTAATATCAGTTAACGACCCGATATGATCACTCGTCTATACCCAGACAAGCTGTACAGCCGGCTGCCAGCGATAGTCGTTTGAGCCGAGTCATGACTCGAATCATGTCGACGCGTAGATCGTAGATTCGACCGTGATTCGGGCCCATCGATCGCGAGCTGACTCATCGGGATACGCGACTTCACCTGGATTGATAATTTCACGAATCCTTGATACGCGATTAGGTAACCTTGTCGCGGCTTTTAAATGACTACCGGTTGACTCGTATCAAAATTAAAGGGTTGTCTTTGATAAAGCCCCACCGTCAAATATCTGGCGTTACCCCGAAGAAAATGATTTGAAATAAAAACACCCAATAAAAAAAGCGCGTTGCATTTTTAATCTTCTTGTACTACTGTCTCCGTATACGTGTTTTAAATATTTTCTAGATTTTTTTGCTTTACTATCGTAGATATATTTTTTTTCTAGCAGTTTGTGCGCGATACAGTTACAAGTAAACGTCATTGTGCCATAGCGCCGTTATGACAGTGGCATATACGTACTGATAGGAATAGCCGATACGGAACGGGTTCTATCTAACAGACTTCCGGCCAGCATCGAAACAAGCCGACCGCGCGCGAATTACCATAAGCATTTATATATATGCGCCATAGCGCATTATACTTGCATACCCGGCGGCCGAAGGTGCCCGTTGTCGACGACGGTAGCGCCTCATATTAGGTGCGGGCACCATGTAGGGAAGAAGGGAGGAGAGGGAGGGATGCATGTAGGTGCCCATCAGGGGCCTGGCTACTTACTTACGTGTACCAGCCGGCCTCACGAGCCGCCGGCACGCGAGCCTGATTGACTTGTAGATGAGGCGACACAGTCGATATACTCCGGACTCTATACCGTCCGGCCGCTGGAAACGGCTCCCTGATCGCCGCCGCCACCCCCGTAGTCCGTCAGTGGGGACCCCCATAGTCGGCCCATGGTTGCGTCGCGTTCCCTCGCCTCCGACACGTTTCTCTCGTCCGTCGTTCTCTCGCTCTATTTGGTCTCTTT